CAGTGTTCTCTTGCCACTATCCATTCCCAGCTACAGCCAGCCCTGTCAGATCCTGGAAACACGTATGTCCAGTGTGTTTCAGCAGTCTCTGAAATGCAAACCCAGAATTTCCAATGTGGTTCAGCTTCATAAAGCATTGTGTCACAACCATGCCACCACCCAGCCTCCATTCTCACTTTATGTTTGAGCTTTGGCAACTAAATACCCTACTAAATATTTCTAAAGTATTACAGAACATGGGGGGGAAAGTCAAGATCCCATTTCATGGTTGAAAGAAAACAAAAGTGTATTTAAACCAAAACAAGACAGGAGATAAACAGGGCATTACCAGATTATAACAGGTAACAGGGTTACAACTGATTTTTACTTTTATTTCTGCTCATCTGTATTTTCTGTAATGAATACCCATTATGTTTAAGTCTGGTTCTGCTAACTAATCCTAACAGAAATAAATTCTTTTGTATACTAGAGAAAAAAATATCAAGCATGAGAACTTATGACACACATTAACACATTACAAAGGCTAGGTTTTATAGTCAGGGTACAGTATTTAAGATCTGAGTAATATACATGAAGGGAAATCATGACTTTACCTTTATAACCCCTCCCAGTTTGGCATCAGCTACAGCCAGAGGTTCGTGAGCTTCTTTGACTATTTTCTTCAAAACTTTCTTCAGCTGCTTATTAATTTTGCCCTCCATCAGAGCTGTGAATGCTTTTCAGGAAAAAGAAAAAAGGATAAGCTTAGATAAGTTTGTTTTATTTAAAAATTTTAGAAAAGCAAGATACTTCTTTTCAAAAGTTCCAAAATAAATGTTACTTCCAAAATGCAATGACAAACGTAAAATATTTAATAAGTAACATGTTTCACAATTATCTGCCCATCCTCATTTCTGTTCTGGATTCAGGACTTAAAACCAGGTCCAAAGTTCCTTTCCTATGTCACAAAAAATCTTCTCATGAACTTAGAATCATGGAATCTTTGAAACAATATACTCTGAGAAGACCAAGTCACTATTCTATGCCATTTCAGATAGACTGTCCAATGTTCTGTATTGTACAATACCCTAAAATAATTTTATGTATTTTTTAAAAGCTTTTTGTCATAGGGGACATGCACTCACTGGAGAGACAAAGAGACAGACAGTGAGAGGGATACTGAGAAATTGCCCCCACAGGTTGACCAAGTGTCAATCCCTTCTCTATTCTCCTCCTGAGATTCTGGGCATGCACACATGCAAGCCCAGCATGACTTACAAGCTGCCAGGTCCAGGACTCGAACCATGGTCAGCTAGGCACCTTAACCACCAAACCACCTAGTACTAGCCCCAAGGATAACCGTTTTTTTTTTTTTTTAAATAATTATTTATTCATCCATTTCTTAATTTGACCAGAGAGAGACAGAGGGTGAGAGTGGGAGAGGAGGTAAGAAAGCAAGCCACCAGATTCAGGACTTGAACCCCAGTCAGCCATGTGGGAGTGTCCAGTGCCTTAACCACCACGCCACCTGCTGGTCCCTAGGATAACCGTTTTAAAGGCAGTGGAGGCCTCATCTTTGTTAACCTCTACTCCATTATCAGGTCTCTGCTTATAAACCTCCAGAGATGGGATAACTTCCTACTGATGGCAACCTATATTATTTTGAAACTGCTTTTGCTTCTAGTAAGTTCTAAGTCTGCTACTTTAGAACTCTCACCCTTCCTCAGACCTACACTTTCATACCCTGAACTGATACCACTTCCAATTATATCTGGCTTCTGGCTAAGGTTAAAATATGGCTGGCAGAGGGCCAGCAGGTGGTATGGTTAAGGAGCTGGATTCCCACATAATCAACCAAGGTTCCAGCGCTGGAACCCGCGGCTTGAAAATCATGCCAGGAACATGTACTTGCATGCCCAAAATACGAAGAGACTGAAGGGACTGTGGTATAGCCACCCTCCCTGGGGAGTGATTTCTCACTTTGTCTCTCTCCAGTGAGTGTACAACCCTATGTCAAAAGAAAAAGAATACTTGGCAAGAAGGAAGGTCTGTCATAATTTCTAAGGACAGGAAAGTGTGAACGTACTTTGTCAGGTATTTGTTCTTCCCTTCTGATCCCACCTCCATCCATTTAAATTACAACCCAGTTCTGTTACGTGGGATGATGAAAGGTGAAGACTAAAAACCATATTGCTATCATGTAGGTCATGTAGAGGTCTCCACATGAGGACTCAAATTACTTCTGCTGGTGCCTATCTTTTATACTCTGCACAAAAACTCCTTATAATCTTCCCTTCCCTAATTGAAAATGCAATCAAGAGTTTGGGGCCAGCAGGTAGCATGGTGATTAAGGTACTTGACTCCCACATGGCCGACCATGGTTCAAGTTACAGACCCGGCGGCTTGTTTTCTCACTTCCCTCTCCCTTTGTCTCTCTCTGTGAGTGTGTGCCTTATAGCAAATTTTTAAAAATAATAATGACATAATTCTTAAAAAAAGAAAAAAATACAATAAAAAATAAAATAAACCTCTCCATTCAAATGGCATATATTAACTTCTGAGACTAATATAGATTCTTGATATCATACCCCTTTAGACTGTAAGGTTATGGGATTTAAATGTATACCATGTAGGCCAGCAGGTGGTGTGGTAGTTAAGGCATTAAGATTCTTATATGGCCAACCATGGTTTGAGTCCCAGACCTGGCTATTTTAAAATCACACTGGGCTCATGTGCATGTGTGCCCAAACATCTCAAGAAGAGAATGGAGGAGAGGGATTGTGGTATATGCCCCCCATGCATACTGTGGTACATAGCCACTCAATTTTGTCTCTCTCATGTCAAAACTGCCTTTTAATGGAAACAAGTTTAATTCTAAGAAAGGACTCCACTCTCGTAACAATGCTGAACTTTCTGATAAAACTTGACAGGAAAAGACACTGTAGACAGTGTCTTTCATTTATCAAAAAAATATGTATTGTAAGGGACCAGCAGGTGGCATGGTGGTTAAGGCACTGGACACTCCCACATAGCCGACCACAGTTCAAGTCCCAGACCTAGTGGCTTCCTTTCTCACTTTCCCTCTCTCTCTGGTCAAAGTAAAATAAATGAAGGAATAAAGAAAATTAAAATAAATAATTAAAAAATATATATATGTATTGTAAACCCTCTATGGGGGCCAGCAGGTGGCATGGTAGTTAAGGCACTGGACTCCTACATGACAGATCACAGTTTGAGTCCTCAACTTGGCGGCTTGCTTTCTCACTTTCACTCTCTCTTTGGTGAGCTCATATGCCCCATAGCAAATTAAAAAATAATAATAATGAATAACATTAAATAAATTATACTTAAAGAAAGAGGAAAAAAAACCCTTGATACTGTGCTAGGATCTGACACTGAAGAACAAAGGGGGCCAGAAGATGGTATAGTGGTTACAGCGCTAGACTTCCACATGGTCAACTGCAGAGCAAGTCCCATACCTAGCAGCTTGAAAACCATGCTAGGTTTGTGTACACGCCTGCCCAAGAGCTCAGGAGAGTGGAGGAAAAGGGATTGTGGCATGGCCATGCCCATTGGGAGTGATTTCTCACTTTCCCTGTGTCTCTCTGGTGGGTGCACATGGCAAAAACTTTTTTTTCCCCAAAAAGTCTCTACTTTCCAAGATCTTAAATTGGGATGTTAAGAGCAAATTTCACCTAATTTGGCATTTTCCTAATATACTTTAGGTATAAAGGGATATACATGGATATGTCTTAATTTTCATGTTTTATCATCTGTAACAGAAATAGTATCATAGGGACCAGCAGTTGGTGTAATGGCTATGTCACTGGACTCCCATGTAATCGACCGCGGTTCGAGTCCCAGACCCAGTGGCTTAAAATCACGCCGAGCATGTGTGCATGCGTGCCCAAGATCCCAAGAGAATGGAGGAAAAGGGATTGGAGCATAGCCATCCCCCCTGGGGGATGGTTTCTCGCTTTCTGTTTCTCATCTTTTTGGTAAGCACACGCACCCTATAGCAAAATAAGAAATAGCATGTGCCTCACAATAGTGTTTTAAGGATTAAATAATTGTGAAGCAACGAGCACCAATTTGACAATCGTCACATGATCAAAATATTAGCTATTATTATTATTAATAGGAAACACCTGCCTCTGTGTTGGGTAGAGGCTGGACTTGTCTATTTCATGCAGTTTAGTAAGGACTGGTCATAAATATCCCAAACAGAAAACATGCAAAAAGGCTTCACAGGTAAGGCTACTTGGGATCAGGCTGCAACACTTTATACCTTGAGCAGAAACTGTTCATATTACAGTCTATGTTTCCATAGCCTAGAGTTGGAGGACAGCCAAAACAATCTTGCTTGGGATTCTGTCAAAATTTAACCCATATTTTTAAAGCAGTGCCAAAATAACTATTTAAAAAATTCTTAAGGATTGGGACTAGCAGATAGCATAATCGTTACATCACTGGACTCTCATGTAATCATCTGTGGTTTGAGCCACAGACCCAGTTGCTTAAAACTCAAACCAGGCACACGTGTGTACATGCCCGCCCAAAATCCTGAGAGGAGAATGGAGAAGGGATTGTGGCATGGCCATCCTCCCTGGGTGGGTGATTTCTTGCTTTCTGTCTCATCCACGAGTGCTCATGCTCTATAGCAAAAATCTCTCTTAAAAACAAAAAAACAACCAAAAAACCCTCAAGGATTTGCCAGCCTGTGGCCCCTAACAACAACAAAAATCTCTCTGAAAACAAACAAGATTTTCTGGGGAAAATGGTGTGTACCCCAGGAGAGTGTCCCTCCCCAGCTGTGACTTGGCTACTCTTGACTTTACCCTTGGATTAAAATGATCAGAGAGCTGTGTACTTGACCACATTACCTTGGTCCCTTGTAGAACAGCTTTTACTGAACTGTGCTTCAGCATTATGCTGTTGGTTTTCCACAGGGAGATCAATTTAATCACTGCTCACCTCTCATCACATGGGGGGAAAACCAGCCCTATGGTGAAAAAAGCTAACTCAATGTTGTCTCAGTGGTAGTGACGAGTTTGAATTAGATCATGTAATTCAGTTTCAACAAGAATGCATCATTGACAACATTGAATAAGGTTAACTCAGACAATGGAAGCAAACAACCTTTAATAGGGAAAACAGATTGCCAAGGTTAAAGGAAGGGAAGCTTCTAGTCGTTGACTTTACCTGCTAATGCTTCTGCTGTATCCTGAAATTTCTCAAAATGTTTTAATTTTACTCTAGAATTAAAAAAGGAAAGAAATGTGTTATAGAGGCACATTGATTTTCCAAAAGCCACATAGCTAGGAAAGTGTTCACAAAGCAGATACCAATGAAAGCCATCTGGAACACGCTATTCTTCATAACATGATTCATTTTTCTACATGTTGGGCTAGTAATGTTTGGCGGATTAGGGAGAAAGTTGTAAAGGCAAACATAGATCAACAGTAAAGATTTATCAAAGCGTCAACATAACCCCTGCTGCTTAAAGCTGCACAATGATGGCTTTTACTATAGCACAGAATTGACCCTGGAAAAAATAATCTAAGTTCATCTTAGGTCAGGAATCTCATGACAATCATCTGTCCACTCAGTACAAAACAAAACAAACAAAAAACCCAGCTTATTCTCAGACCTGATTCCTGTGACTCTTGCACTACTCTCATATCCTCTATACACTAATACACAGTAACATTTTACATAGAAACACACACATACAATTAGTTCATTGTTGTCTCAGTGGTAGTGACGAATATTTGAGTTAGATCACTTAGATTCAGTTCCAACAAGAATACATCATTGACAACAATGAATACATTAACTCTGCAAAGCATAACCCTTTAAAAAGCAAACAAAACAGGTGTTGTATCCATCTAAAAGTAATCCTAAGCAAGGTTTTCTTATCTGGTAAGGGCTCATGCTACTGGTCCTTTAAATATACTCTTAGAAATACAAAGGTTTGGGACCAGCAGATGGTGTAATGGTTCCGTGGCTGAACTCCCACATGGTCAGCCACTGCTGGAGTCCTGACCCAGTGATTTCAATCTCACGCTTGGTGTGCATGTGTGCATACCCCAAATTCCGAAAGAACAGGGAAGGGACTGCAGTATGGTCATTCCCCCTGCGAGGGAGGGTGATTTCTTGCTTTGTCTCTCTGGCGAGCACATGCACCCTATAACAAAATTCTCTCTTAGCAAGAAAGAAACACAAAGGAAAACTATTAATTTCACCTTATTCCAGCCTACCTTATCCCCATTTCCACCTTTCTAAAGTCACATCTGTTCATCTCTCTAAGTTGTATAAATGCATATAAAAGGCCAGCCAATGGCATGGTGGTTAAGGCAGCTGGATCCCACATGCCTGACTGTGTGGCTGGAGTCCCAGACCCAGTGGCCTGAAAAACACACCAGATGTGTGTCCATGGCTGCCCAAAATCCTCAGTGGAGAACGAAGGAGAAAAGTCTGCAGTATGATTATCCCCTCTGGGGGAGTGCTCTCTGGTAAGTGGGGAAAAAAAATTACATACACCAAGGCAGCACAAAAATGGGATTGCATTAAACAAATGACCTCCTTTTAAAGAGTTATTTTACTTAACTTTATTTATTTATTTATTTATTTATTTATTTTTAATTTGACCAAAGACAGAGTCCGCCAGGTCCGGGACTTGAACCATGTTCAGCCATGTGGGAGTCCAGCACCCTTAACCACCATGCCATCTGCCAGCCTGCCCCAACAAATTACTCTTACTGTTTGTTTTTAGTTATCGTGGACCTCTTATTACAACTAATTCAACAGCTCCACATGTAGGCTCTAATTTTGTTTGTTTGTTTTTGGAGAGGTTTTAGCTATAGGGTACATACGCTGGCCAGAGAAACAGGGAGACAGGAAGCGAGAAATCACCCCCTATGGGGGATGGCCATGCCGCAATCCCTTCTTCTCCAGTCTCCTCTCGGGATCTTGGGCACGCAAGCACACGCGTCTGGCGTGAGTTTTAAGCCACCGGGTCCGGGACTCGAACCACGGTCAACTACGTGGGAGTCCAGTGACATAGCCATTACACTAACTGCTGGCCCCTAATTTTGGGGTTTTACCAGTTCAAAAGCTTTAACTGTAATCTGTCCATTTCTTTGGTTTCGGCATTCTAGCAAATCTAAGAAGTTCCCTTCTAATCTTCTGTTTCAATTAGCAGTAGCAGATGAATTATCAAATACTCTGGCATCCACAGACACAATCACGTATAGATCCCTCCAAATCCACGAGTATCAAGAGGATCAGTCAGTGCCTAGCACCAAATCCACCAAACGGGCTATTCCATAAGGTGAACTGAAGATGGTGCAAATGTCACCCTGACTTTATGTTAAGGAAACACAGCTCTCTCCCCTACTACTTTGTCCTTAACATGGACATCAAAGTTATACTCTATTATTTACTTCCTATCAAGACAGCTTGAGGAACTCAGGTACGCCTTTCCAGGATTTACTAGCTAATTATCTCGTTTATAACAGTTGGAACTAGGAAGTATGAGTGATAAAGAATGAATAAACTGGAACCAGCAGTCAGCGTAATGGCTATGTCGCTGAATTCCCATGTAGTCGACCAAGGCTCAAGTCCCAGACCCGGTGGCTTACACTCACACCGGGCCCATTTGCATGTGTGCCCAGGATCTCAAGAGAAGAATGGAGAAGGGATTGCGGCGTGGCCATCCCCCTGGGATGCCTCTCTGTCTTTCTGGAGAGCGCACTCACCCTATAACAAAACCTCCCCGCCACCCCCCCAAAAAAAGAAAGAAAAAAACTATAAACGTACAATAAAAAAAAATTTTAAATCTCAAAAATCAGAGAAACTATTAATGGAAGTGAAATCAATGTGTATTCCGTGTTTTGGACAATTCATGTTTTAAACAGAAAATTTTCTTAATTCACAACCAATTTGCACTTTCAGATAACTTAATAGGTAATAATAATTTTAGGGTGCTTTCCAATCTAGTCTGCAATGAATATGAATGTGCCGAATGGTCTGTGTTCCAAATAAAACATCTGCAGTAATTTTGTTCTTACCAATATAAGAAGTCTTCAAAAAGTTCAGGAAAATTCCTATAATGAAAGGACTACTTTTTTTTTTTTTTCCATACAAACTTTTTGAAGCCTTCTCCTATTCCTGCAACAAATTTCGAACAAACAACTATAAGCATAATGCTGGGGCTGGCAGGTAGTGTGGTGGTTAAGGGCACTGGACTCCATGGCCGACCACGGTTAGAGTACCAAACCCGGTGGCCTGCTTTCTCACTTTCTCTCTGTCCTAATCTGGTAAAATTAAAATAAGTAAATAAAATAAGTTAAATAAAATAATTAAAAAAAAAAAGCCTGAGCATAATAATATAGAAATCAAGGGAGTAAAAGTAAAACAAAACAAGCCATAAATGTTAACTACTAAATTGCTTCCGTATTACTTACATTTTATTTGCCTTTTCTGGAGTTTCGAATTCTTTCCATAAGCTATCAACCTCCTGAAGCTTCTTCTCATTTAGAACCTGTAATAAAATATTTAAATACTTTTAAGTGGCACAACTTAGACAAATACAGCTACATTCTTCAAGTACAACTATATATGTAAAATGAGGGAGGTGCAAGTATTTCTTTCACTATTTAACCAATATAAATTTTTGAACAAATTAGTATCTAGTTTAAGTTGCTCATTTAACAACTATTGGGTGGTTGGGAAAGTCCTGTGGCATTTTTGCACAGAAAAAACACGTCCTGACTTTTTCGACAACCTAATACATCAAATTCAGATCTTGTCTGCGTATTTGTTGGAAACCTTTATTTTCATTTTTTTTTCTTTTGGAGAGGTTTTTGCTATAGGGCACGTATGCTCACCAGAAAGACAGAGAGAGACAGAGAGACAGAAAGTGAGAAATCACCCCCCAGGGGGGATGGCCACGCCGCAATCCCCTCTCCTCTCGGGATCTTGGGCATGAGCGCGCACACACACGCCTGGCGTAAGTTTAAGCCACCAGGTCCGGGACTCGAACCTCGGTCGAACACATGGGAGTCCAGCGACACAGCCATTACGCTAACTGCTGGTCCCTTTCATTTTTTTTTGGAGATAGTGTCTCACTATGTCACAGTCCTGCCTCAGCCTCCCCAGTAGCCGGTAAAACCTTTCTTTTTAAGGAGCCCTTTATAATGTATGACAGATTCACAGGCCATTTAGGCTATTTACCCACTTTCAACGGATTACTACATCTGATGACTTGTGGCTATGATCATACTAACATCAAGTATTATGGATTTCCCTGAAACTAAGATACCAAGATTTCTTCTTGCAAGAGAAAAACAGGGCACTTCTAGACAGTGAAATGGTCACTAACAAAGATGGCCATGCCACAATTCCTTATCCTCTGTTCCCCTGTCAGGTTTATTTTCTTGGGGGAGGGGAGCAGGTGGACAAGCATGCGCCCAGTGTGTCTTTTCAAGCTATCAGGTCTGGGGCTCAAACTGCAGTCAGGTATGTGGGATCCAGCTGCCTTAACCTCCTCACCACCTGCTGGCCCTGACCTTCTCTTTATTATGTGTCAGAAAACATCTCCATATGCATACATATTGCATTTCTGTAGGGGAAGTAACTAGAAATGGAGTTATTAGGTCATTTGAGAAACTCATGATGTATTTTCCTATTTTTTTAATGCAAAAATGTGTCATGACTTTCCTGACACTCAATAGAATATTTTTGCCATAAGCATATCCACTTGCCACAGACAACCAGAGAGAGAGAAAGAGACAGATGAAGGAGGAAAAGTGAAAAATCACTCCCCAAAGAAGAATGGTCAGTGCTAAATCCCTTCTCCTCCACTCTCCTCTTGGGATTTTGGGCCCATTCTTGGAAAATAAAAAAAGAAAATGCAGCTAGTCACAGACAAATTTCACTTACTGTCAAGATGATGTGGGGCCGGGAGGTGGCATGATGATTAAGGTACTAGACTCTCACATGGCCAACCACAGTTCAAGTCCTGGACCTATGGCTTGAAACTCACGCTGGGCACATGTACATGCATGCCCAAGATGCCAGGAAAAGAATGGAAGAGAAAGGACT